TATACCTTTCTTTACACAATAGAGTTTCTAACAGCTTGCTTTAAAGGTGCTTTCTTATGCACTAAGATAAGTTTCAAAGGAAAACAAGCAATAATTCCCTGAAATTTTGATTTTTCTCTATTTTTTCCTAAAGCAATATACACCTGGATGAACTAGATATCCACATGACTTAGAAAGTAAATTATTAGATAGCGGCCAGGCCGGTGGCTCATGCCTGTAATCCCAGCACTTTGGGAGGCCAAGGCAGGCGGATCATGACGTCAGGAGATCAAGACCATCCTGGTTAACACGGTGAAATATCATCTCTACTAAAAATACAAAAAATTAGCTGGGTGTGGTGGTGGGCACCTGTAGTCCCAGCCACTCAGGAGGCTGAGACAGGAGAATGGCGTGAACCCGGGAGGCAGAGTTTGCAGTGAGCCGAGATCGCACCACTGCACTCCAGCCTGGGCAACAGAGCAAGGCTCTGTCTCAAAGAAAAAAAAAAAAAATATATATATATATATATATATATATATAGAATAGCTTGTTTTATACTAGTGATCTGTTCCAGGTTCACTCCTAAAACGCAATGTCCTGTTGATAAAAGGTATATGGGTAAAACTTGTATTTGGATAAAATGGCTTATAATCTTCTGCATAAAGATTGGTTTTCTAAAAGTTTTTTCCTCTTCAAGATTACAAAATGGGACAAATGTCTATGTTTTTCTACATTTTTCAACAACTGAAAACATGGAGCTGTTATAATCAGCTAAGTCTTACAGGAGATACTCTAAAATGCATCAATTCCTCTTACAATTATTGCTATGAGACAATAGGGAGGTTGGGAGGAGAAGGGTATAGAAAATCAGTATATGACTGACAAAAGTAAAAACTAATAATTTTTTATATCTTTCTTTTTCTTTTATATATTAATTACTTAATCTCAAGAGCATAATAAATTAAAATCAGAGACCTCACTAAAAGATCTTCCACTGAAAAATATGCTTTTGATTTTATAGACTTTATAAGCCTTTAAATATCTTGAACTTTTAGTACACTGTCTGTTTTCTAACCATTTTATTCAAAGCTATTAGTGCAGCAAATAAACAGCAATGCTTTGATCTCATTAAATTACAACTTATAGTTCCTGGAGTCATAAATATTGCGCTCTTTTCTCCTTCACCCCTCCCTTTCTGGTAAGGGGTAGTCTGTTTAATATCACTATCTCCTTGAGTGCTCTGACATTTACTCAGACAAATAGCAGAGGTTATGAATGCTGCTCATAGATAGTATCAGGAATTCTTCATGATTGCCATAATGGTGAACTCAGCATCCAGAATGGTAATACCTAGTTTTTATCTAACCACTAAGTTTGGTCTGTTTAACTCTGCTCCACAAAAAAAAAAAAAAAAAAAAAAAGGAATTCCATCTTATCACAATAACAACTGTTCTGGACAAAATCATAGAACAGTATAAGAGAAATGGAAATTACCTTTGGGAAAATTAATGATTAGAAGTTTTAAATAAGTGATACAACCAATGTTACAAAATTTGATTCTCTTCTGAAAAAGTTTAAAAAAAAAACAAGCTTTTCCCAAAGTTAAAAATCAAAGCTACATAAGATATATAAAATATAAAATTAGTGTACTTACAATGTCTACAATATTAAAAATTGGCTCTGAATATGTATTTTAAAATTCTCACCCTTTCAGTTACTTGAACTTTGAAGTCGCAAAGGTAATTAAATTTTCTCACTTTACCCTTCTGTAACAGTCTGTCTTCCAAGAACAACTTTGCAGCATGAACACTGACACTAATGGTTTCTAGAGTGACAGAGACCACTACTACAGGACATGTTAGTACATTTAAGTAGCCCTAGCCTAGGCCCCAAGACCTGAGAGAAAGAGGAAGTGTCCTCATGAGCAACACCATTCTTCTCACACCTAGAAAGACATTCCGCATCTTCTTACATAAATCCACTAAGGGTATCTCTCCATGAATCTACATGAGCCTCATCTCCATCTATAGGTCAGAGTCTTAAATTGTGCATTGGAAATATAATAGGCAGGCTGGGCATAGTGGCTCACATGTGTAATCTTTGGGCAGGCGGATCTTTGGGCAGGCGGATCACTTGAGGTCAGGTGTTCGAGACCAGCCTGGCCAACATGGTGAAACCCCGTCTCTACTGAAAATACAAAAATTAGCTAAGCATTGTGGTACATGCCTGTAGTCCCAGCTACTTGGGAGGCTGAGGCAAGAGAATGGCTTGAACCCAGGAGCCAGAGGTCGCAGTGAGCCGAGATTGTGCCATTGCATTCCAGCCTGGGCAACAGAGCAAGACTCCGTCTTAAAAAAAAAAAAAAGAAAAGAAAAAAGAGAAGTGATTGTCTATTCATATCCTTCGCCCACTTTTTGATGGGTTTGTTTGATTTTTTTTCTTGTAAATTTGTTTAAGTTCTTTGTAGATTCTGGATATTAGCCCTTTGTCAGATGGGTAGACTGTAAAAATTTTCTCCCATTCAGTAGGTTGTCTGTTCACTCTGATGGTAGTTTCTTTTGCTGTGCAGAAGCTCTTTAGTTTAATTAGATCCCATTTGTCAATTTTGGCTTTTGTTGCCATTGCTTGGTGTTTTAGTCATGAATTCCTTGCCCATGCCTATGTCCTGAATTAGAAATATCATTTGACCCAGTCATCCCATTACTGGGTACGTACCCAAAGGATTATAAATCATGCTGCTATAAAGACACATGCACATGTATGTTTATTGTAGCACTATTCACAATAGCAAAGACTTGGAACCAACTGAAATGTCCATCAATGATAGACTGGATTAAGAAAATGTGGCACATATACACCATGGAATACTATGCAGTCATAAAAAAGGATGAGTTCATGTCCTTTATAGGGACATGGATGAAGCTGGAAACCATCATTCTTAGCAAACTATTGCAAGGACAGAAAACCAAACACTGCATGTTCTCACTGATAGGTAGGAATTGAACAATGAGAACACTTGGATACAGGGTGGGGAATATCACACACTGGGGCCTGTGGTGGGGTGGGGGGAGGGGGGAGGGGGGAGGGATCGCATTAGGAGATATACCTGGTGTAAATGACGAGTTAATGGGTGCAGCACACCAACGTGGCACATGCATACATATGTAACAAACCTACACGTTGTGCACATGTACTCTAGAACTTAAAGTATATAACAAAAAAAGAAATATAATAGTCTATTATGTTACAATGAAACATCTGTTTTCATTTAATGCAAAAAAATTAGTACAAAATTTATGAGGCATATTTTCATAAGACTGCATAAACTAATTGTATAAAGGCTTATTAATATGAATTTTATTTTATTAATATGAATATTATTTCATATTCATATGAAATCAATTGATATGAATTAATTTTCATATTAATTAATTCCAAATTAATTATGAATGTTATTTAATTACTAAAGTCATTGTTAAAAATATTAAAACATAAATGAACCAAAGAGACATCAACAAAAATGTGTTTATTCACAACTACTGATTTAATAGTTATTTATATTTGTATTTGAAATCTATATCAATAGAAATGTATGGTCTTTTTAATAATTCCTACTTGGGATTCCAAACAGATTTTTTAAATTATAGCTTTTTCTCTTTATATTAAAAAGAGCCACCTCTAATTTTCGAGGATGTATCTAAAAAGAAATGTTTTCTACATATATATTAATTGTACTCTTAAGTAATTTGCTAAATAGACAGACTTTTAAGGGCCAGAAACATGATTATCACCACCCATTCTAATGTTCTGTACTGAAATACACCTATGCTTTTACTTTCTGATCCCTCAGGCATAAGAATAAAGTCCAAGGAATATATAACCAATATATTGGCAGTTAAAACAGTGAAGATATACATATCACAGTCAACAGTATTCTAATATTAATGGTCTTTGAACTATGACTTAGGATTTAGAAGGTACTGCTACCCAAAATATACAAAGAACTCTTAAAACTCAACAATAAGAAAACAAAAAACCCAATTAAAAAATGGGCCCAAGGCCTGAACAGACACTTTAACAAAAAATATACACAGATGACAAGTAGGTATATGAAAATATGTTCAATATCATATGTCATTAGGGAACTGCAAATCAAAACAAGATACCACTACACACCAGTCAGAATGACCAACATCCAAAACACTGACAACACCAAATGCTAGTGAGGATGTGATAGTGAGACAGGTTGCGCATGTGTAAGGACAGGGAGTATACGGGAACTCTGTACTTCCCACTCAGTTTTGCTGTGAACCTAAAACTCTCTAAAAATTGTTTATTAATTAAAATATATTAAATTATATTAAAATAGTGAAAGTCTATGTATATATAAAAGTAAAATGCTTGGATTTCTGGTATTTTTTTCCTTTTAAAAATAGAATCCTTTAGAGTCAAGACAACATTGACCCAAATTAGTAGAAGTTATTATTTTCCTCAGAATTAATGGTATATCTGAATGATGCCATTCGTATTCATTTATCTCTTGAGTCCAAAATATACAACTAAAAATATAGATTAGGTTTAGAGTGCAATCTTTGACTGTGAAACAACTTTCTCTGTACTGAATCAATTAGCCAATACAAAACTGAATTCCTAACTTTGGCCTCACTAATGTTTTACCCTAAGTATGTCAGAATCCCAACAGAAACAGATGGCACACATAAACTAGGATAATCTGAAGATGGGTTTATTTGCAAAGGTGCAGGAGGATATAAAGGAACCACAAGGGATGGCACAAGTTCCACTGACTAGCAGCACTGTAGCTGTCACCACATCTAGACCCAGAAGGTCAAGAAGAGAGGTTACTGGAACCCCAAAAAGAGACAGGATCATGTAGATTAGGCCAATTTGAGAGAAGTAGTGATCTATTGAGGGACATGGCCAGCCTGAAGTTATCTCAGAGGGAAGAAACAGGGGAATAAATACCCTGATTCACTCTCTCCTTCCTCCCATCTCCTGCTTAGGCTCTCCACTGGCCCAGCTCAACAGGAAGTCAGAAGATATGGAAGCCCATTGATGCAACCCATATACATAAGCCTTCAAAAGGTAAGTACAGATCTGGAGGGGCAAACAGAAGATTTTTTTGCATACCAATATAATAAATAACTACAAATTAAGTGCATTTTAAATGATACTTGGTAAATATTGTTTCAAAATATTTATGGAGTGCCAGTAAGCATAGGTACTTAATTCTCTCAGAGGTAGGGAGGTGGTCCTAAAATGATTCAAAGTGGTATTGAGAGAGGGATTGGAAGGGAGTGGAAAAAGGAAAACAGACGTCATTCTCTATGGAAAGAACAAAGCCTTACCTACTCCTATCGTACCAACTCTTCCTTTGTGTCAGTTGGAATATTTTTAGTTGCAAATCTTGGAAAATCGAATTGGCCCTAACCAACCTGGTTTAAGTAATAATGGGGACCTATTGGTTCACATGATTCAAATGTCTAGAGGTAGGACAAGATGCAGGGTTGGTTGATTCAGTTAATAATGTCATCAAAGAACGGGTTTCTTTATGTCATACCAATCTGGCATCCACATTGTCAGGTTCTTATTTGTTGGCTTTTCTCATGGTTGTAGGCTGACTGCCAGGCACGGTAGAGGTTACGTTCTTCCTAGTTTATAACCAGAAGCTAGCTAAAGTCATTTATCCATTCCTGAACCAATGCCTATGGTCAGAGGAAAGAAATATATTTGTGCTCTCCTGCCAATTTGGGGCTCAGCTCTAAAGCTGGAGACATCAAAACAAAAATCTGGATAAGGTTAGGAAGAAGGCAAAGGGATACTGAAGCTCAGTAAGCAACAAACAAATGCTCAATTCAGAGCTTCATTCATGATGCTCCAGCCATATCAGATGTTTTTTAGTTCCTCTAATATACTAAACTCTTTCCTGTCTCAAGGCTTTTGCACATGCTATTCCCCTTGCCCAAAACATTACTCCCTTCCCTCCTCCACCCTCTTACCCCAATCTAATAAAGTCACCTGTGATGTCATCACACCTTTTACTTTTTCTTCCGCTCATTTATAATAGTTTTATATTACTTAGTCTGTGTAATTATTTGTTTTATGTCTGACTCCACCACCAGACTCTTTCATAAAAGTAGAAACATGTTTTATTTTCTTCATAGCTGTATCCTTAGTGCCACATAGCAACCAGTATATAAAAGTCACTCAATAAATATTGAATGAATGGTGCTAATAGGGATGACATACAATGAATCCTTATAAGGTATTCATGTCACCATAAAAATGCATGCTACTGGTCACAAGTCAAAGAAATAATATTTTGAATGGATTACAACAAATGCACTAATTACCTTTACTGGAATTATAATTCAAAATTTATGCATCTGTATTGAAAACATTTATCCTACCAAAAAATTCTACCCAACTGTCCTCTAGTAATAGCCCATAAGACTATTTTACATTACAATTTTTACTTAGTATGAAACTATATCACTCATACCTTCTTTAAACTGCATATTTCATCTTCTTGTTTTTCATTTAAAGCTGAAAGTCTTTTGTTTGATTGTATTGCTTCCCGTACTGCAACATTAAAGACACTTAAGAAAGCATTATATTCAATGTGTATTTCAAAGAAAGTATTAAGATAAACAGGGAAAACAGTAACAATGCAATACATACGTTATTAAATTTAGGTAACAGTCATTAACTGCCATTTACTATTATCAGTATTATCATAGAAATTCAAAGTATTCCTAGTAAATAAGTCCATTCAAACATTCTCTACTGAATATGTATATTTAAATAAGATAGCACATACCATTTTGTTCTAACTTTTCATGATTCTCTTTTACCAATCCAAATTGACCTGTTATTGTGGCATAGCATTTCTCAATTTCACTCAGTTGCTTATGATAGTCTTCTTTAGCCAGAAGATGTAACTGGACCTTTTGTTCCTATTTTGAGGAGTAATTTTAAATGTTATACATATAACACACACACACACACACACACAACAAATATATAAAAATATATTGTGGTAAACAACTGCTGTTAGTAATATAAATAAATGTCATTTAAAAGTACTCTCTGAGTAAACTGCAAGGAGGAAATATTTGTTAGGAGACATTTCTAAATCTGTGTAAAACTAAAGCAAACATATTTTTCCTATAGCAAAATAGTCACTTCATGTTATGTTTCCCTTGTTTGCAATTTCTTTTTCAAAATCTTTTTATAAAAAACGCTAATCAGCCTAACACTAAGAAAAGTGAGGAGAAAATTAAAGCAATATTTTTTCTTTCTCTAAATCATTTGAATAATCAGGATCTATCTAGATCACTGTTTTGATTCTTTGTCCTTTCAATTTGCTAGAATAATTTCAATGTGCATTACTAAAATTCAAGTAATTTTTCTGACATAGATTTTAATTAATATAGTACCTTCTCACTGCATTAAGAAATGAAATGATGAGGCAGGAAGAATGCTTGAGGCCAGGAGTTTGAGACCAGCCTAGGCAACATAGCAAGATCCCATCTCTACAAAAATAAAAGTTAGCTGGGCGTGGTGGCACATGCCTGTAGTCCTAGCTACTTGGGAGGTTGAGGTGGGAGGATTGCTTGAGGCTAGGAGTTTAAGGCTGCAGTGAGCTATGTTCGGCCACTGAACTCCAGCCCAGGTGACAAAGCAAGACCTCATCTCTAAAAAAGAAAAAGAAATGACAAGGATAATATCTCTCAGTGGCAGGGAGGCAACATAGGATAGTAGATAGTCTACTTAAACTGGAGACATAATTGGTAAAAATCAGACCCTACTTATATAATATTATATGGGCCTCCACTGCTTTCAGCTAAAGGAACTACTCTTACCATACTTAGAAATATGACTTTTAACTCTTAAAAACTAAATATTATGTTAACAAAAATCAATAACACTTGTTAAAAGTTTTTTTATCTTCACTTGACATTAGCAGAATCATTAATTGGTTTCACATCTTTCATTCATTTTTTTTCCCCATCTGCTTCACCTTCTATGATGAGCAGTTCTAAACAAAGAACAGTATAGGCCCATCCATTGGCACTCAATAATTGTTTTCTGAATGAACCGTTGTTGTCTTATAGAGGGGGTTCTAATAGTAAAAATTTGATTTTGCCTAACCAGCATCCATTTCCCTTATCTAACAGCACCACAATTTACTGTATTGAAATACTTTTTCTTCATTACAACGTGGACCACACATTACAACAGGACTAAAATTCAGGGGTCCTATTCTTCCCTAATTAATAGAAGGGCATGTTCTCAAATTAAACCAATTGATAGCTACCTTCTTGGAATTTGAATGTTGAGCAAAAAGACTATATAAAACTAAAGAAGTTCAGTAGTGATCCTATCCAAACTGATACGAGACCTCTGTTGTGGGTTCCTACATCCTGCCTCATAAACTCTGGAATTACTCTGAGTCCCTGTTCATTCTCAAACAATTCTTTATTCTCTGGCTGATTGTGAATGCCTCCCCTAAATTAACCAGAGGCATTTCTTATTGCTTAAAACCAAAGTACAGGCCGGACACAGTGGCTCACATCTGTAATCCCAGCACTTTGGGAGGACAAGGTGCGTGGATCACAAGGTCAGGAGTTCGTGACCATCCTGACCAACATGGTGAAATCCCGTCTCCACTAAAAATACAAAAATGTGCCAGTCATGGTGGCGTGCACCTGTAATCCCAGCTACTCAGGAGGCTGAGACAGGAGAATCACTTGAACCCAGGAGGCAGAGATTGCAGTGAGCTGAGATCGTGCCACTGCACTCCAGCCTGGGCGACAGAGCGAGACTCCATCTCAAAAAAAAAAAAAGAAAAAGAAAAGAAAAACCAAAGGACAGGTAGTAGAGCATAGTGGTCAAAAGCTAGTCTGCCTATGTTTAAATCTTGTTTCTGCAATTTAGTGTGACCTTGGGTAAATTATCTACCCTATTTTTAGGATGAAGTTTATAATAGTATTTCACTCATAGGGTTGCCGTGAGGATAAAATGAATTAACATATATAAAGCACTAAAAAACAGAGTTCATCATGGCCGGACGTGGTGGCTCACGCCTGTAATCCCAGCACTTTGGGAGGCCAAGGCGGGCAGATCATGAGGTCAGGAGATCGAGACCATCCTGGCTAACACAGTGAAACCCCATCTCTACTAAAAATACAAAAAATTAGCCGATGTGGTGGTGGGCGCCTGTAGTCCCAGCTACTCGGGAGACTGAGCCAGGAGAATGGCGTGAACCTGGGAGGTGGAGCTTGCAGTGAGCCAAGATTATGCCACTGCACTCCAGCCTGGGCAACACAGCAAGACTCCATCTCAAAAAAAAAAAAAAGAGCCCATCATATAAATATCACAATAAAATGATTTGTTATTATTCCTTAACTGATAAAAGTATCAATAGTTTTAATTAACTTTTATTTAGAATAAGCATGGCCTTTTAAAAATATTCATGAAGGGCCAGGCACGGTGGCTCATGCCTGTAATCCCAGCACTTTGGGAGGCCAAGGCGGGTGGATCACAAGGTCAGGAGTTCGAGACCAGCCTGGCCAACATGGTGAAACCCATCTCTACTAAAAATACAAAAATTAACCAAGCATGGTGCCGCACACCTGTAATCCCAGCTACTGGGGAGGCTGAGGCAGGAGAATCACTTAAATCCAGGAGGCACAGGTTGCAGTGAGCTGAGATCACGCCACTGCACTCTAACTCGGACGACAGAGCAAGGCTCCGTCAGACACACACACACACACACACACACACACACACACACACACACACATATATATTTATACATGAAGAACACACATTACCATTTTAGTTGTACCTAACTATATTATCTTGGCAAGTCTGATGACAGTCTTAACTTTTTCAAAGCTATTTTTTAAATGATTTTTAAAATGGTAATATTATTGGTAATAATTATGATATATCAGTTGAAAGTTTCTCATGTATGTCATCAGGCTTTTCACTACTTATTTGATTTAATTTTGCAGCAGTTATAAATGCAAACAAGTTGATAAATGTACTTAGTCCTGGAGAGCTTATGCCTACCTGGG